ACGTCTGTTTGTATAATTTCAAGATCATATATAAAATTAGTAAGATATTTCTAACATAGATTTATTTATTCATCGATCGACTGAAAACGAAAATATGTGTTAAAACTTCAAAGATGTATAGTTGCGATCAGATGCGTACAAAAATACTATGAGGATTGAAAACAGTAAATAATTTACTGTCTGTACTTTAAATGTAAGATTACTAGGTGTCGCCAGCGACTCCGTGGAATTGAAAAAAAGATAATTGGTAGCCTATGAGTTATTTTAGACTATGTTCTATATATGTGCTAAATTTCATGAAGATCCGTCGGGCCGTTCTGGAGATACCTTGAAACAAACATACATCCATTCGTCCATCTAAACTTTGGCATTTATATTATTAGTAAGATTAAATTTCTTGGAATATAGCGTCAGGATACGATACTTGTGTAAAGTAACATTATTGTTATCATTTCATTAAGTCGTGGTCCACCTGCCGATGACACAGTTAGCCGGCCGGCTTATTGTCTAACATCCGCGCCTTAAGCTATCGGACTGACGCACATAACCTACGACAATTGAACACACTCTATCATTGTTCATATTTGCGCCTCGCCCTTTTGTAATACGTCGTATGATCAGAATAGCCTACCCGGGGCATATTAATAAATTCAGTCATGCCTAATTCGCTTGATATGCGTCTAGGGAGTCTACAATCGTAAATTTTCTATTTTAAGGTATTTTATTAAACAACTGAGACGTATAGCTTCTTTATCGTCATGGAAATCATCAGACCACTTAATTATCTCTTTCTCTGCAAGAAAATAAAGCTTTTGCAATGATTTTTTTCTTTTTTCATCTTAAGATTCGTATTACGTCAATTCAAATCATTGGACCGACATTGAACAACATGCTTGTTATTCAGATTTGGAGACGGATCGTAACAACAACGTCTGGCCTTCAACGTGACTCATATTAAAATTAATAAGTGAATTTACATATAAAACCTTTCCATCGAGCCCTTATTTGGATTGTTATATCATTACATTGCGACACGCTTCAACCGAAAGTAATTCAGAAGCGTTACTAGAATTGTATCACGTACGAAACGTCAATATATTTGTATTCCAATAATTAGGCAAGGTAAACGAAGACCTTACACGTGTCGGTAACCGCGTGTGCCTCGCCTCGCATACTGATGTGCCGATGCCGCGAACAATCCGTGAGCGCATTCCTTGCGCCGTGCGACGTACCGCCTTCAACCATTGTCTACGCAAATCATGTCGCACTCGTATGAATATCACAACATCGCGACGACCATGTCACGAAGGCTAGTCACTACGTTATTAAACATCAAAAAACTAAATGTCCTGTCCTGATTTTAGAGTCTGTTTATGTCTTAAGATGGGATCACTACTACTACTATCAATCTATCCCGAAATCTTCTCTTCTGAGCATATTTTTCACATAGCCACAAATTTGTGTTAGGAACTATCCATCTTACCCAAGTCAGGCTCAGTTTTTTTTTTCATAATAACGATGGTAACTCGCTTCGTTTTATATCTTAGAAGATGTCTGCGTTGGATACTTAAGTTAGTCATAACTTATTTTCGTAGCAAAGTACTCGGCGCCTTAACGACTCTTAGAATAGCTCCTGCATGGTGACGAGTTATTGCACCGCGTACCGAGTTGGATATTGCGGTGGTATCACCGGTCCAGTTCTCCCACGCCACCGCTGGCTCTCTCATCGCGACGTCGCACCACCGTCGACCAGGTTAACGAACCGTGCCACGGCTGTATGCCACACCACACGACGCGCGTATCAAAACGTTGTAATATTTTTGCCTTTCTCTACTTAAATACTTTATTAAGCATAACTGTAAATTTCAATATAATAAAAGCGTTTAATCGTCTTTGTATGCGACCGGAATGTATCCGTCGATGTATCCGTGTCGCCGCACGTCTCAACAAATTGAATGATAGTATTTGATTGCCATCGAAAGTTTACTATTCAATAGATTGTTGTATTCGCGCTGATTCATTCATGACTTTCAATTTTTATGATAAAAAAGATGACCGTTGTATTTTCAATTCACAGATAAATAACTAGTCGTGCGTAATAATCAAAATTTGTTGAAAAAAATCGAATTGATTAGTTTACAAAGAGTACACGAACTTGTATAGAGTGTCGTAATATTTTTTGTGTAGTAATATGTAGCCTGATTTGCTTACTTTTATCAGTAAAGTGTTAACGAGTTTTTTAATTATCAAAATTGGTTACAATTCGTTATGTAGACGAGCTCTCTTCAGCTGTGTGACGCCTACTGCTGGGCATAGGCCTCCAAAGATAGTTACGATGATCCGTCCCGTGCAACCCGCATCTAGGATACTCCCGGATTGTATGCACATCTATAGTTCATCGGACAATCATAAAAGGCCCTATAATATTCATTTAACAATGCATTCGGACGTGCATTGTGCACCGAGCCTGCTCTATCTCGGGTCGGTGCTCGTGTCGAACGACAAAGTGGTCATTCCGTCATTGCTACAACGAATTGGACGTCGATATATTTGCAACAAAATTTATTTTGTTGTATAGGAAGTATTTTTTATTAGAGATAAATATCAGTTTGTCGTTCTGTTAACTGAGGTTGGTAGAAGTTATAGACTTTAAAATTCAAGCAACTAAACATGGTTGTCTGTTTCCAGTACTGTTAATTCAACCTTCGTCGTTCTTGTTAGTATAATATGTTAACTTAGAAAGACCATCCTTGTCATTTTCATTGCCATACTATAATTTAACAGTTATTAATAATGGTTAAAGCATTATTTATCCGTTAAATAAAGTGTTTTAGTATTGGAAGTTGAGTGTCAATGATGTAAATGAGTATATTGCGAGGGAAAAATTAGTCTGAATCACAAATGTTTTTTTTTTCAAGTCTAGATGTGTTGTGTATGTTTCGTGACCTTGACTTATTATCGTTATTCACATTCAAACTGGCCAGGTAAGAAATTATCGGTGTTTTTTGTAAGAACTTGCGGCGAAAATATCATTAGATTTACAGCGACCTTTGTTTGAGAGATTGAATGTATTTTATTTTACGATTGTAAAATTTTATTACCAAATCATCAAATACTTCAATAAAATTTATCTTTAGGTAGATGAATGATGATGATTATATTCTTTTATAATTTTGTATTATTTTGCAACATGTTTTCGTAAAGTAAATTTATAAAATGAGCGCTGTATTTCTCGAGTACACCTCATTCAGTAGTGTTTGGAGCAGCCGATAGGGCGTCTATATTTAGACTCCGGATGTTGAGGTTTCTTAAACGATGTATAATTTAGGTTTGCACAGATTGAAAACAGGAACATGTATCTAACTAAATTATTAACCACAGCTAACGTTGTTAGATATTAGTTTAGTTTAATTAAACTAATTAAACTTAAAGTTTTACTATACAAGATTTGGAATGGGACTCGTTAGGTCTTTACATCATCATAAGCTCACTATACGTCCCCACTGAGGAACTTGGAGTCTATCATAAGTTAGGGGTGACTAGGCCATAGTCAACCACGCTAGTCCAGTGCGGGTTGTTTGACTTCACACATATCTTTGAATTTCTTCTCAGATATGTAGGACTTTACTATTAATATATTTTGGTGTCGCGCTTATTACTAAAGTAATTAATGTAATTGTCACAATATGTCCGCCGTAAATGCGTCATTGTTATAGATACAAGGTCTATTGGGCATCGTTTGAACGTTTACGAACCACTAAGTTGAATGTTACCTTAATCTCTTTGGTTTATATACGTCTACGTTTGTTGATTTAGTGTTTAGGGATGTGTTATCTAGAAACTGTTTAACTAATCACTTATTACACTCCATCTACACACAAAATGTCCACAATGGTTTTCAACTTAAACCTTGTACTGAAGCTTCTTTTGATTTATTATCTTAATTAATTGTTGTTACTAGCTTCTCTACTAGATCATTGGTTAGGACAACGACACAGGAACCAACTTCTGGTTTGGACGGACGGGACGCATTAGAGATAACAGGTCAATTGTCGCCTCCGCGATGTGTGGCGCCGAAAATAAACTCCATAGTTCGCAACTCATGATTCTTGACAGCAAATTTGAATTGTTAGCAGTTATGCTTTCACATTGTAAATTATCATTGTAATATAAAATTTAAATATTTGGCTGATGGCCGTATATTCTCGAAAGTCCCAGACGAATTCTAGACGGTATTTAATACTGAATTTTCTCACAAGCTGAATAAGTTATAATAATATTAAATGTTATTATTCTATCTATTAGAACGTGATTTGTTTTCGTTTTCTTTAATAACAAGCGTTCGTAGCACATTTCTATCTCCCTCTTCGCGTATCTTGCAACATGTATTATGCTACTAGCTGTCGCTCGCGACTACGTCCGCGCGGAATTTAAAAAAAAAAACTAGACTATGTTCTACATCTATGCCAAATTTTAGCGAGATCCATGCAGCCGTTCTGAGGATACCTTCAAAAAACATCTATCCATCCAAACATTCTCATTTATATTATAATATTAGTAAGATTATGCTATTACTACTATAACAATTGTACTCTTTTGGGATAGTTGTGTACATATGTGTGTTTAAGTCAGGTTATATGATCGCGGTGGTAAGTTAACACGATCCCGTGGCGTCCCACATTATGGCTATGAGGGAACAGAGGGGTTTAGTGGGTATGCTCCCATTCGGGGAGAGAATCCCACATAACTACCGTGCCTTCCCCGAGGCACGGAGTATGCCTAAAGCATTCCCTTCTGAAAAAAAAGGTTATATGGATAATTTGCCTAAACATGATGCACAACACTCGATTACAATAGCTTCTGAATACGCTTGGTAGTAACCGAATTGTCGGCTATTTATCGCCGTTACAGCTTCCCTTTACTGACCTCGTATCTCAGCCCTGTTTCCTCTGTTATACGTTTTGACATATGTATTAATTGTACTGTTTGTTTGTTCGCAGGATCAATATGATAACTTAGCCGCCCACACGCACAAGGGAATCGAGTTCCTAGACAAATATGGTAACTTTGTAAAGGATCGATGCGCTATAGAGCTCGAGTATGCAGGAAAACTCAGGTAAATAATAATCAATTAATAAAGGTCGGTGGCACAGCGGTTAAAGCACTTGTTTTGTAATCTGCAGGTTCTGGGTTCGAATCCCGACATGTACCATGCTTACGTATTTATATGTGCTTTTATCCGACCTTCTTACGGTGAATTAAAATGTCGTGATGCAATCTGTACACATTTGCAAAGAAATACAAAGATATGTGTGAAGTCAACCAACAAAATAATAAAAAGTAAATAATATAAATTATATTTTTCATGTGTGTGTGTTAGTTGCTTTGCGGCTAAAATGTGCGCTAAATTTATATTTACTACTATAAGCATTAATGGAACGATCTGCGAAATGTTTTTTATTAGCATTATTATAGCTGTATTTAGTTTTTACATAAAACTTTATTCGCTATATGTAAAAATTTGTTTTTTTATTGTTTAGCGAACGACCGAGAATAAAGCTAAATAGACATTTATGGAAATATGATTTATATAGAAAAATGGTCATTGTATTTAATTATTTTATTATTATAAATTTACTAATTGAATAAAATTGAGTTCTGTAATACAGGAAAATTGAAAGTCTACTTATTTCTTATTGAAAAATAATTAAAAATATCTTTGTCAACGTAAAATTAAAATTCTTCCGATACTCGTTGTAAAGAAATGTGGAAAATTTTATATAACCTGAACACCCAATGAACTTTCTTTTACATACTTCAAAATATGCAAGCACAAAGGTAAGCACTCTTGTCTTACAAGACAGAGCGTATCTTGCAAGATCAGAGACTTTCAGTATCGGAGTAACGTGAATTCCTCTTGAAACCTTTTTTGAATATAGGATCAAGTGCATTATACCTCCTTAGTAGTTTGTTAACCTATAGATTGATGCAGGTAATTAATGCCGATAAAATCTTTTAAAGTCTTATTTTTTACTAGCTGTCGCCCGCGACATCGACCGTTCGAATTAAACAAAAAACATAATTTTAATTATTAGCCTTTGTGTCTTTAGGTTATGTTCTATGTATGCCAAATTTCAACGTGACCCATGCAGTTGTTTTGGAGTTACCTTCAAACATTCGTACATCCAAACATTCGCATTTATAATATTAGTAAGATTTTTACCAACTGCAGAAAAAATATAAAAGACTACAGGAATTTGACATTTTATTAGTTTTTTGTTTCGTTTTGTAATAAGTATGTATATAATTAATTAATCTTATTACGTATTTTTTCTCAGCCAATTATAAAAGTGAAAGTCTTTTATTGACCCCAACACGCACTTTTTACGTAATCCAAGAAAACAATAGTCTCAAATAAAGCCGATAGAAAGATTTGTAAAAGAGGTGTTATGTATTACATAAATATATTAAAAGGATTACGGTATATGTTATAAACAAGACATATACTAGCGCGGGGAGTGTCGTAACTTGTCGAAAGTTCACTTTCACTACTTTATTTTGCGCTGTTTATTGAATACGAAATGCGAGAGATTTTTTCACTAAATTGTATCATTCGAATGTACCGTACACTGTATCTATGAATTTTAAGCATTATTTAAATTAAATTTGTTTATTTACGCAATCATTTCTCTTTTTGTAAGTTGGTACTTACAAAACCCAGGTACGGAACCCTAAAAAAATACCAACATATTATGGTTAATATGTTGCTATTTTTTTAGGGTTCCCTCATAGGAAAAAAACGGAACCCTTATAGGATCACTTTGTTGTCCGTCCGTCCGTCTGTCAGACCCTTTTTCTCAAAAACGCGTGAAGGTATCAAGCTGGAATTTACATCAAATGTTCAGATCTGCGGTCGCTAGGTGCTGTGAAAAAATAAAACTTCTAAGCCAACCCAATCAAAAGATACGACCGTTTATGTCGCAAATTTACGCAATTTATTTTGTTTGCAGGAGGCTCGTCAAAAGTTATCAACCTAAAAGAAAAGAAGAAGATGAATACCAGTAAGTTTTATAATGTTTTTTTTTCTCCTTATTGCCTATATTAAAACTATGATTTTATTTTGCCCTGGTAGTCTTCAAATCATATATTGACTTTATAGGACCGTTAGTTCTTAGGATATTTCAGTAGTGTAACCTAAGTACTATGCTATAATGTAGTAATATTTACCCGACACACATGGTATCCATACTAAAAATCTTGTTAACTGTATAAGTGGATGTCTAGATATAAGCTCATCAACGGACAGACAGGAAGTATGCGTTTAAAGCTAATAATATACAGTCGAACCTGGACAAGCGAGAGTCCAAGGGACTGCGATATGTCTCGCTTATAAAAGCCGTCCGTACCGACGAATGACTCGGCTTAGAGGTTTCTCGCTTTTCCAGGTTCGACTGTAGTGAAGGTTAATGATATAAAATCTTAATTAATTAATTAAAAAACTGGAATCTATGTATTTAGTTATCATCTTTCTCTAATACCATACATAATTTAAGACAGATTATTTTGCTGATAATAATACTATATATTTTTAATACGTTAAGTTCTTATTGTAGTTTTTGTTCATTTTTGAGTTTAAATAGTATAGATTTCTATGTAGACAATGACACATCGTGTCATTGCTTTTGTGACAAAGGATTCCTAGTTATATTTAGCTATCACTTGCACCGGAGCGGGAAAAAGCTATTTATCAATGATTTAGTAGTTGCTTGTTACTTGTCCCATTCTAGAAATAATAAAAAACAATAGTCTCGTCTTTCCGTTGCAGTTCTTCGGAAAGTGAGTGGAGTGATTGTGATTCATCTCTACAATGAGTTTATTAATTTAAATGTTTTGTCCGCGTGTTTTACTCAATACATTTTGTTAGATACTAAGAAGTATTAGGTGATTATTAAGAGAGAGTTTCCTTAGTACAAAACAAGTCGGAAATGTATTTAATTTTGTAAGTTTGACTTCAAAACTTTAAGTATAGATTTCTTGCTTATTATAGTTTAAGTGAAAGAAATTTACGCTAAGGTACGTATAAGTAACCATTTGAAGACTATAAATGTGCTAGTTAAACTTTATATTTAATTAGTTTTGCTAAAGAGTAATTAGTTGTATGCAGTTGGTATCTGATGAACTAACGAGTTTACGGGTTTACTGTCTCTCCTGGTTAGAACCTGTTATGATTTAATGATCCTACTAAAAATATTATGTATAGTCCGTTTTTAGTTTTAAATGCATATAATGAATCTAGTCTATAATTAGTATTCTTTAGCCATAGTTAAAGGAATTCTATTTTACATCCATTTCATATCTTAAACCCCTTTTCCATTAAAGCGACTATTCTGCATCGAGATCGGAATTATCACAGTGTATTTTATATCCTACACTTTTACTGCTAATGCGATTTTATTGAATCAATTTTAGGAGAAACGCAGATTTTATTTGATTGTCATTGAAATGAAATTTTATTTGTCTTATTTGTAGATACTCAGCTTGCAAAGCATTCAGACAGCTGCTGCAGGAGCTGGGCGACTTCGCGGGGCAGCGCGAGGTCGTAGCGGAGAACCTGCAGTCTAACGTCGTGCGAGAGCTGCACCTGCTTGCCAAGGAGCTAAGAGAAGAGAGGAAGGTAACCAACAACTACAGAAAACTATACTTTAACTACTAAGACTCGTTTAATGGTTTAAAGTATAGCTTTATGGAAGGATTTCTTACTTAATCTGAAGTAAGGCGCTCCCATGGCGAATAATTAACTCCTATATGACAATAGGTTTCTATTATTTAGCATGACCAAGTCTTAAGGTTAGGTGTTTATCTGGATATTCCTATCCCTGTAACCAAGAACAGAGTTAATGTCTAACTTTTCCGGTTATCTATTTTATGACGTCATAAATGGGAATATGTATATCTTAAATCATGTTAGTATGTATAATGATAAGTAATTTTGTTTTTTATGGTCATTTTAGTATTAATAAAAGTACCGTACAAGTCAATCGGGAACGAACATAAGCGTCTTACAGTACGGACTCGTTACTCCACATTCTAATTCCTTCATACATGAACGTCTTTGCTGATGCATCTCGTATTCCAACGGTTTTTAGATTTATTAATTATAATCTGATTATTAGAATTTGTCTCTGAGTAAAAACTTTTAATTAATTTTTAAAACAAAAAAATGCACGCGTCAAATAAATTATTTAACAATGTTTTTCTTTTGAATACATTCTTCGAGCGAATTGACCTTATTATAATGCTCGTCTTTTGTATTTTTTATATACAAATACAGACAGCGTGATTGCGAAAGAACAATTTGGCAAACGTTGTGCCTCATTAAAGCAAGTTGGCGCTTGTGTTTGTGCCATATTGATCCCGACTCGTGCCGCGCCGCCCGCCTAGATGCGACCGGGTCAAGGATTTTAGATATGTAATTGTATGACACACTTGATTTGATGCCAATCTTCAACGTCCAACACCTCGATTAATGTGTTAGCCTTTTTTTCTTTTAAAAATATTTCATTTAAATGGATAATAAACGACTGTAACCTTTAATTTTGTTACACCGTTTTGGGATTACAATAAAACAAATAGCTTAATTAATAATACATTAAGTGGTTAGCGTTATAGTTCTGATTCAAAAAAAATTGTTCTGGCTTTTATTGGAATTACTTTTATTTAGCCATGCTTTGTTACTCAAATTAAAAAAATATATAGTTGTCTATGAACGCTCCAACACGGCGCGAGTTAACTTCCTGACACTTGACCGTTTTATCGTCCTTTTAATTTCAGCAACATTTAAACGAAGGCGCCAAACAAGTGGCCGTACTCAACTCTGCTATAGGCGCACTGGAGAGAGCGCGGCGGGCCTACGAGCGCGCCGCCCGCGAGTCCGAGAGGGCTATCGAAACATTCGACAAGGCTGACGCTGATCTCAGTCTAAGGTACAAAATTAAAAAGAAAAAGTATTTTTTATAATTCCTTTAATGAAATTTGAGTTTTTAATTTTTCGGCCAGGATTATTTCAGTCTGTACTCAATCTCGTAGGTTGAACTCGAGGGTGCTACTTGTTTTATTCATGTTTATAAATGAATCATCCTTTCAGTGTACCAGCGGGGCGGCCGGTTTCATTATAATTTGTAAAGTTATATTTAATACTTTACTTCTTTTTATTTTAAGCAAAGATTTTTGATGTATGGACGCTGAACGATAGGAGATTCTTGTTTCAAAACAAAAAGGTTATCATTTTTAGCGAGTCTTCATTTTCTGTCTGGCGCGGTTTGCTTTTAGGCTTAATCGTTTTGCCACGTCACTTTAACTAAAAGCCCCTTTGCACTCTTTTTGTATTTGCTACGGGAGATATCGCATCGAAAGCATCAAGCTATTCGTTACCTTCAACATAAAAAATTGAACTTTAGAAAGAGGAAATATACATCAAATTAAAAATGTTATGTATACAGTCGAGCAGAGTTGGAGAAACAGAAAGCGAACGTGAAGGCGCGAGGTCAGGCTTGCGAGGAGGCGAAGCAGGAGTACACGGAACAGCTGCGCAAGACTAACGAGGCACAGCGACAACACTATGAACAGCGGTTGCCACATGTATTCAAACAGCTACAGGTACAATCCTTAGATAAAAACAAACATTTCAGTTAGAATTAATCATCTATAAAGAATGGTGATAATATGAACATCGGCAAAATTTGTGATGGATCATAGACAAATTCTGTTATTGAAGTGGTGAGAATAATCTTATACGTAAGTGAGAGAAAGTATTCTTAACGAGCTGTCGCCCGCGAGTCCGCCCGCGCGGAATAAAAAACATACTTAATAGATAGTCTATGTGTTCTTTCAGACTATGTTCTACTTGTATGCCAAATTTCAGCGACATCCATACAGCCGTTCCGGAGATACATTCAAACAAACATCCATCCATCAATCTAAACATTCTAATTTTAATATTAATAAAGGATTAGTAAAAAGTAAGAGTAAAATAAAGAATGTTTTACTAACTTGTTTTGCTACATGTAACATCTTTATATATATAATTCTTCTGTGAGTGTGTATATCACTGAACTTCTCTCAAACGACTGGACCGATTTTGATGAATTTTTTTGTGTGTGTTCAAGGGGATCTGGGAATAGTTTAGATTCACAATTTTCATCAAATATTAACTTCATATTAATTTATTCAAATTAAATATGTGTAGACAGGACAACGTCTGTCGGGTCCGCTAGTATAAATATAATAATTAAATATTTTAACGTACACTTATCTATTCAATAAATCTATCAGTTTTATTTTGTTGGTTTTGTTTGCTCGATTTCTTCCTTTTAAAACGAATAGGTGTGATATAATTTTTGCTTTAAATATCTGTCTTTCACAATGGCGCATCCCAATTTAAGATTTTTCTATAAAATTTATCAGAAACGTAAACATGACTCATGAACTTTATAACAATATGATGAAATGCATCTGAGTTCTCCCGCTTGCACCTGGCGCTCTGCCAACTAGGTCGAGTAGACACAAATTAAAGTCGACGCCTATTTCTGACAGATTTTTTATTTTTAAACTACAATATATGGCGATGAATGTTTCAGTTCATTTATGATTTAACACAGTTTTTGCTGTGTAATTTTTTTTATGTTTTGTTGTTCTTGTTTCAGGATTTAGACGAAAAAAGAATCAAAAATATAAAGAACTTCATGTTAAGTTCTGTGGACGTCGAAAGGAAAGTCTTCCCTATAATAATGCAGTGCCTTGACGGAATGGAGACAGCCGCTAATAGTATTAATGAAAAAGAGGTAATTATATTAACAAATTAAAAAAAAACTAAATAAGTAGCCTTTCAGACTACGTTCTACGTCTGTGCCAAATCTCGTCAAGAGATATCGCCGTTCAGGAGATACCTTTAATCAAACGTCCGTTTATCAAAACTTTCGCATTTATAATATTAGTAAGATTTAAACCTTTTTTGGTAATGAAATACATTGCAATCTTTATTTTTATCATTTTTTTCATTCTGTATCGTATTATTTGTTGGAAGGGAACTTTAAGATATAAGAAATATTGAAATCGAAAAAAAATACCTAAATATTTATTGTTTGATATTTATTCAGTTGTTGACTTTTCCAGGACACCCAGCTGGTGATAGAGAGGTACAAGTCAGGTTTCGTGCCGCCCGAGGAGTTCAGGTTCGAGGCGGCGTCAGGGCGGGACTCGCAGGAGCACGCGCCGCCGCAGCATCACCTCACTGCGGCGCGCGGCACTGTCTCACACCGCGTCAAGAAACGAGGCGGACTGCTCTCCATATTCACCTCCAATAAGGTGAACACATATTTATAACTGGCTGAATACGTAGCACTTAAAAAAAAAGAATAAACAGAATCCGACCCTGGATATAAAGCTAGTTTCACACTATGAGGGAGTATGTACAATGTTCTGGTGTTGTGTGAAACTAGCATTACAGTACCAATGTCTCGATAAATTTTGATCTATGATTTAGAAATGCATAGATGATTTATATTTTTTTTTATTTATAAGTAAAAGTACAAATATATATAATTGCTGAATAATACGGTAAATGGAATTCGAAGTATGTTTGATTTAATTTATAAATGTTAGATATGCATGAAATATATTCCCATTTTTTTTTCTTTATATTTTTGAAGTATGGTGGTTATTAATTTTATGGTTTTGGAGATGGTGATACTAATTTTATTTTTATTTTGTTCATTCCCCGTTCGATTCCAATAACACGGGTTGATTATCAAATGATATTGGCCGGCGTCTGATGTCCCATCACAATGAAAAAGTAAGTCTAGAGGGCGCGTAAGTTCGCATGCGCCATACATGCAATGTCTGACACTTCATACAAACAAAGCCATGCATATTAGTCACAAACTGATTCTTTTTGTTATAACATTTACTGTCATCATTTCGGCTTCGCTTTAGGACTTTCCGATGAAACGGTGAAAGTCCTTGTTTCTGTTCATTTCTGTTTTTTTTTATTTAAATATAATTTGTTTGCCTTCATCCCGTCCTGGTACAATTTGACGACAGAGGATTATTGAGGCGTGCCACTCTTTTAAGGTTAGTCGCGTGAAATTGCAGGTTTTATGGTTGAAGTTTGGTATTGGCTAAATTCACGGAAATATACTTTTTGGAGTGTTGGCTTTTGAGGCCATTGAATAAAAAAACCTATTGGATTCTATGGTTTCAATTGGACCAATGAGATTTTTTTTAGGAAAACACCCATAGACTATGGTAAAACACTGGTTTATTATATCCACCGTTAAAATTTCTAAATTTATTTGAATTTTTGGAATGTAATTTTTTTTATTTAAACGGGAATAGCAAATCTTTAATTTTATAATGTTTCTTCTGCATGCAGATCATAAGTAACCAAATAAATTGTCTATGACTTTCAAATTATGCGAAAGCAATGGATTAACTTGCAAAAAAACCCTTGTAAATAATTCTTTATTTTCGATCTTTTATTTCTACTTATCTTAATCTTTTTATTTCTAAAGTTAACTTGTATATAATAGGTTTAACTATCATTGGCTGAAATTTATTCAATTATCTTAAATAAATAATCACTTTATTTCTTAATTCTACCAACTGTTAGATGGTTGCTGAAGTGATGATTTAGCCATATTTACCAATACGAGTATACACAAGCACATTTTGTGTTTATTCATTCACAAATTACTGTGGGTTTCCATTGTTGTAACACTTGTATACAAACATATCATCTTTTCAGTTAAAAAAAGAGATATTTAGATGTATTAATACAAGTATTACGACAATGGAATTTCAAACATAGACTGGGCTAGAAATGTACATTTTGTTACGCTTTATTGATTGTCTGGATTGTTCGTGTTTTTTAAATTTTTAGTATAAGTGTTAATGTTTTAAATGTATTTTAGAACAACATGTCGATGGATGGAAAGGAGGATTATTCAGATTTGCCACCGAATCAGAAGAAAAAGAAACTACAAGCCAAAGTTCTTGAGTTAAACAAACAGGTTTGTTAAATTTACGTTTTAAATTAAAAAAATATAAAACTTCCTATGAAAAAAAACGTAAATAGTAGCCTATGTGTCCTTCCAGACTATGTTCTACATCTATGCCAAATTTCAGCGAGATCTGTTTAGCTGTTCTGGAGATACCTTCTAACAAACATCCATCCATCCATCTAAACTTTCGCTTTAGAATATTAGTAAGATAAGTAGATAATAAAAAACCAAATCTTGTCTTCATTATCTACTTGCATTTATTCTTGTAGTGCTTTTATGAATTCTTAGTTCTGTTTGTCAGGTTGCACAGGAACAAGCCGCTATGGAAGGTCTCATGAAGATGAAAGGAGTATATGAAACAAATCCTACCTTAGGGGATCCGATGACTGTAGAAGGTTTGATGTTATCAAGTTTTATTTTGAACAGTTTTTATAACATTAAGTAGATACTATCAATGGAGAGAAAAACTGACTTTTGTTCACTACAGATGTCAGCATATTGTAGCACTGAATATACCAAAGATGTACAAAAAATCACTTTATTTTACATACAACGTACAAAAATATAAGTATTTTTTAGGGTTCCGTCCACAAAAGGAAAAAACACTTTATTGTCTGTCAAATGTTGTCAAAATGTTTTTTTTTTTTTTTTTAGAAAGTTCATGAATAATTTATATACATGATCTGTGTTCGTAGGTCAACTGAACGAGTGCTGTGACAAGCTGAAGAAGTTGCGGCAACAGCTGCGTAAATACGAGGAGCTGCTGGCGGAGGCGCACAGCCAAGTGTGCGCACCACCGCTGCATCCTGCAGCACGCACCAACGGCGCCGCGCCACCTGCACAGGCCATCAGGTACACTGCATCAAACAATACATATAAAACGACATAAAAGGAAAAAATTATATGACAGCTATAGTACAAATAAGATATTGTGACATTTTTGACGTTGACAAGGGGTCGCTAGTGAGCTGTTATAATTTAGCTTTATTTATGCCCAGGTTCTTATAGCCCTATCGGTCTATACGTTAAATGAGTTGAACAAATAAGTCGTTACGGCGTTTCTTTTAAGATGATAAAACCAATTTCCTTAGTGACTATTAAACTATCTAATTAGCATATATTATGTTTGCACGGACAGTATCGGATCAAACAGCGAATCTCTGTCGCGGTCCGCGTCCGAGTCGTCAGTGAGCACGGGCACGGGTACGGGCACTACTGCGTGCGCATCCGCCGCGCGCGTCGCCGGCGGATCTCCAGAGTCCGGACTCGGCGGGGAGCTGGCCGCCGCACACGACCACGCCAACGGACACCACGACCATCACGACCACCATGACCACGACGACCACGACCATCACGACCACGACGAGCACGACGCACACGACCACGAGTCCGATATTGATTACTATTACGAGCCTGATCTACAGCCGCTCGGATATTGCAAAGCGTTATACGCATTTGAAGGTCAGTTTATATTATTTACTAATAATGTAAAGAAAATTGTGCGCGAAATAAACAAACTAAAAAGTTGGATACTGCTCGATTTACCGTGGGTTCCTGAGACCAAAATGTCTTTATAAAATATCGTTATTCCTGTCATTATCTGGCCAAACAGAGGTTTGGTCTTAGAAGCACACGGTTAGAGTTGCAAATGTTGCCGATCTGTGTTTGACAAAGACATTGGTTGAATTAGAATCTTCTCTTATGTATTTTGCACAGTTGATTTTACGTTGTGTTTGTGTGTGCAGCAAACGGCACAGGTTCAACGATGCGCATGGAGTGCGGCGAGCGGCTGCTGGTGCTGGAGACTGACGCCGGGGACGGGTGGACGCGGGTGCGGCGCCAGCACACGCGCGAGGAGGGCTTCGTACCCACCACATACATCGCCACCACGCTCTACGCAG